TCCCGCGCAGGGAGCATGTGGGGTGCCTGGGGAGAGGGACGGTGCTGGGCACCCCCTCCCCAAGCCCCTCAGGAGCTGGCAGCAGGACAGGCTGCAGGGATGCTGTGGGAGGACTGGGACACTGGGTGCCTGTGGATCCTGGAGGGATCTGGCCAGTGCAGGCACCCGCAGAGCCAGGGCAGCCTGGGACAGCAGGAAGATTCCAGGCAGGATCATCTGATCTCTGCTGGACTCTTTTCGCCTCTGACACACGCTACCCCAGAGCAGAGGAGCCACCGCTCTCCTCTCTTGAGCTGGGAGCAAGGGATGTGCCAAGAAGGGATAAGAAGGGATGTGAGAGCAGGGATGGTGAGGCAGGGTAGGAACAGAGGACGTACGTCTCAGGAAGCGGTTTCTGACCCATTTGTTCTGCCTCCGGGCATATCTCTTGGTCACCTGTTTCAGAGCCTGGATCCCTGTGAAACAGAGGGATTAAAAAAAAAACCAAACAAGGGTCAGCACAATGCTGCAAGCTGAGCTCAGAGCAGAGAGGAAGCTGTCGGCTCCAGCGGGTCCAGAACCTCCACCCTGGAGCTTTCAGCAGGTAGGACAGTCTGTTCAGAGGCAGCCCTGCTCTCATAATGCCTTATTGAATCCTTCTCTGCACAAACAGAGCCCAGGACTCCTTGTCCCACCCACGGCAGGCCCAGAGGACAGTTTGCCACTGCAGAACCTGTCAATATTTAGTACCAGACTTATCCCTCCATAATCATCTCACGAGCAGACACAACAAGCCCCTTCTGCACCAGACTTGTTTTCAAGCCTTTTATCAATTCTGTGGTTTCCTCAGCTTCCATCTCCGCTTCACACCAAACCCTCCTTGACACAGACCGGTTCTGCCCGTGACCTCCACTGTGCTGAGAAGAGCTGCGCTCTCCTCTAACAACAGCGCATCAGTCCAGACCCTGCAGAGTGACGCGTGCCATCCCAGAGTGCGTCACTATTGACTCATGCTGTCATCTGCTGGATCCCCAGATCCCTCCCTGCCATCCTGCTGCGGAACCTGATGCTGAATTCTGCTGCTTTTCTTCTTCCTAGCCCTGTTCTCCACGGCATTCACGTCCTAGCTGGGATCCCACCACCCAGGTCAGCAGTGGAACAGCTCCAGATCCCAAGTCACACTGTGCCCAGCACATCCTGGGCGACGGGAGGGAGGAACTGCTCTGGGTGCACTCAGAGACGCTCTCCAAGCACTGAAAAAGGAGTCCCAGCCCGCTGGAGTTGGAAAAAGTGGAAAATGCAGAGAGAAAAGGATAGCTCAACCCCAGTGAGACCTGCCCCAAGGATTGAGCTTGGTTCAGACCATCACACAGCGTCACCTGCAGCAGCGTGGGGCTGAGCGACGCAGGGCACACAGGGTGCTCCTCTCACCTTTCTGCAGCAGCACAGCGCTGGTCTCGGGCGAGCAGTTCCCCTCGCTGACGAGGTACTCGTGGAACTCCTTGAAGCCAATGGACTGGAAGATGCCGTGTTGGTAATCCTGCCTGGAGAACAAGAGACAGGGGTCAGAGCAGCCTCGTTCAGAACAGAGGGAGATCTCAACCCCCCCGGAACAGCTGAGGTCTCTGCGTCCCACCCTGCGGGGACCTCCCCAGGTGACTCATGGCCTCAGGGGACAAGCCAAGCCAGGCATACATAGGAACGTAGACCAGTGCCATTAGTGCCACCTCACACCAGCTTTGCTGTGCAAAAGCCTGGGCAGCACCAAGTAATTTTTACAAAGGGGAAACATCACCGCTTGGCAGGTACAGTCCAGACAAAATCAATTCAACTCTGAGACCCGCAGGGACTCTGCTGTAGGACCAGCCCTGGTCTAAGGGCTCTGGCAGGGAAGGCTGGGAAGTGCTGGAGGATGTGGCTGGTGCAGATGTCTCTCATGGTGCCCCCGGCTGTCCTGTCTGCTGGCCCTGGCAGGGGAGGGCTGGGGGCAGCGACCCATCGGAGCTGCTGCAGGGACAGCCGGGCCGGGCCCTGCGTGGGTCTGGCAGGTGGGAGTGGGAGCAGAAAGGGAGCTGGCTTCTCACCCACCGGTTCTCAGCCACCTTCTCTTGGTTGTAACGTTGGTGGAAGTCCCGCAGCTCCTCCAGCAACC